CGGGCAGCAGGTGAGGTCCCAGGATTTGATCATTGTTGCACCATGCAGCCGGGACTCCAGCAATCCATAGAAGTGAAGTTCTGTAGCATCTAGAAACTCCCCATCATGACAATGTGTCATGATCTCCCAGATCACGGCCTGTCTTTGACAAAAGGTGCTTGGGTGTAACGTCCTGCCAAGTTAGTAATTGCTGGCTGTGAACATCCCAGATGGCAAGTGACACATTACTGATCTAGTCCAGCTTCAACAGACCAGTAGTACAAAGGCATTATTCTGTTGATAAGTGGGGCATATGGCTTCCATTTTAATTTTTATTTTCAATAAGGCCTGGCGTTGAACTGATGAATTTGCCCCATCACCTGGGCCAAATGAGCTCTCAAAATAGCTAATCAAAATAATGTAAAAAACATTGGAAAAACAGTTTAATAACCCAAATCTATTTTTTTAAAAGCTTACATGTGTAGAGATTCTTTTGATGCTCTGTATATATCCACTCCATCTGAATTTTGTAATTTTGCTGTGGTTAACACTGAGCTTCTTCAATTAGATTTACAGTTCTCCACTAGCATTTTCTATTTTTTTAGCTTCCAGCCAGTTTGTCCTTATGCATCCATTTAAACTGTGCTGAATTCTGTAAAAAATGTTTTCACCATGCTCCATTTTCAATGTCTTCACAATTCTCTAGATACACTTGGTGTGTCTTTTCATCTTGAGCATATGCAGCCGTTTTTTAGTTTGGAGTGTTCCTCAAGAAGAGGTCTTTGAGTGCTCTTCTCCTACAAAGCTGCCCTTTTGAGATCTGTCGCATGTCTTATCTGCCCCTTTGCATTACAGTGTTTTCTCTGTGATCTCTGTTTGTTTAGAGCTCCACTTTCGCTTCACCAGCCCTGGATATTTGTCATAATCGTGCACTCTGTCTAGGAGATCCTTTCCAAATCGTGGGTGTGAAGCACTAAGAAAATAAGATTATATTTACGTAATGGCTGTGTGGGCACTATAAATAGTCATGCTGTTCCATGACATTAAAATAAGGCAAGTTGTGCTTAGCGTGGCATGGTGAGGTCAAAGCTCTGTTGCTTTGTGGAGTGTTTTGTCACGTGAGCCCCATACTCATGTGATCTCAGTATCTTTTCCCTCAATTAGAGCTGTAAGACCCCAGCCGCATGCTACAGTACGTGTTAATGACGTCCTCAGGATAATGTTACCACTGGAATCTGAGCACCTCAGTGCTAGACTTTCCAATTTGGATCCTTACTATGGCAAGAGATAAAAAGACTAAAAGAAAATAATGCTTGGGGGAGGTTAGGATCAGTACAGTTGCAGCTAGTTAAAAAAACAGCTACCTAGGATTGTCATGACATGTTGGAAAAGCAACCCCATTGTTTTAAATGATTTTTTTTTCTCAGCTTAATATGTATCTTAATCATTTTGTTATTTAGAACAGAAAAAAAATCTGCTGTGCAGAACCCCTTCAAAAGCACGCATTTAAAAAAAAGTTTTCCCTTTGCAGTAACTGAAAAGACTACAATCTCATTAAGTGGTAGAATTGTGCTTTGTTGTTTTTTTCTGTGTCAGACAGTGCTGTCACTTAGACCTCACTGCAAGCCATTTATCCTGGGGCTTGGGTATGTTAACTTATTGTAGGCTTTAACCAACATTAGTATTACTATGGAGTTGTCCGATGACTCCAGTCTTATATTCCCAACGGTTAATTGAGATGCATATCATAGTATGATATTAATGACATCCCAGGCTGCTTTACAGTCTGGAAACCAAGACAGCAAAACTTTTAGATGAGGCAAACCATAGTTAATGCAAACTTCACTCAGAAACATCAGAATCATTGTTAGTCAGGTTATTGATTGAGTATTTCATATGCCAATGGCAGTGGAGCTCTGTAAGCAGATCAAGAGAGAATTGAAGTATAAAAACTTCAAATATATTATACAGTATATGCTCGTTTTTTATTAAACAGTCGCACTTTAGGTCACCAGATCCACTACGACGCAATGTCAGAGCGCTGTGAATGTTGATTTTTTCACACAACTGGATCAGACTTTGGGGTTTTCCTTTTGTGTCTGGGATGCCCCTGAACAGTTTTTGGGCAACCGGAGGGTTTTTGAATCCTTGCCTCGAAGAACCAACACATTTTTATTTTCAAGTTTTAATGGTTCTGTAACTCATTGTCTTATGTAAAAGCACAAAAATGTTTGTCATGATTGGCCGTGATACATATATAATATCTTTCAAAGCATTCTAACAAGAATCCAAGATTTGTTTTTTTCTATGATTAGGTTGGTCTCAACTGTACCGTCTCCCCCAGTGAATTCGCCATCTTGCTCGCCTTCTTTCTGTTGTCTTCGTGTCTTTCTTGACGCTTTTGTTTGGTTTTGGGTGAGAGGGGTTTGTCCGAAATAGTCAGCAAGTGACATTATTACACTGTAAAAATGCTATGTTGGCATTTTGTGTTAAAATACTGTATTTTTATGCCTAGTTTGCTAAATTCGGTGAGGAGCTCAACAGATCCTTCTCCTCTTAGTGCTTAGCCACGCCCCTTCCAAGATTTTTTTACTTTTGCAAGGCTTGGTTTCCAAAACAAAACGTCTGCCTTCCAAACTTCATCCATTTGAGTTCTAGGTGACAGCACTTCAGTTGACTTAAACTGACAATGCAAAATTTCAAGCTTGTCTGCATAACATTTCTTCTGCTTTTGCATGTGATTGTATCTTGCATACTACGTCAGACCATTTGTAAGTTGACACTGTTTGCTGTCTACCAGCAGATTCAGGTTGAGGGAATCCAGAAAATCTAATTAGCTGCAGTACTCTTTTTTTTTCTTCGTATCGCCTTTCAAAAAGGGTGCTTTTTGATTTGTTGATGGACTAGGTGGTGGCCATCCGGTTTTATTGGATCAACTTAAGATTCGCTGCAATTAACAATTAGACAATTCGAGAATTTCAGTGAAATCGGTTCTGCTGTTGTAGAGATTATGAAGAACCATAAAATACAACATGGCTGCCATGTATGAAATAAATTGGCTTCACTAATATGGAATATTTGCATAAGACTATGATTACTTTGGAACCCTTCATAAGTCTATAATATTGTACTGTACATACAATGTGTAATATATGGACATTTATCTGATCTTAAATTAGTTTGCTTTGAGTTGCCATTTTTATACAGAATTAATCTGCGTACATAGCCACTTCTAACTTTCTGTTTTTCAATACATTTGTCTTTTTGCTTGGAATCTGACTTTTGTAAATAGAGCAATTGTACTTTTGAAGGTTTTGTTTAATTTAATATTTTAATCAGAAGACTCTGTCTTATTTATCATGCATTTGCAGTATCCCAAAATGTCTAAAATTGCTTCGCTTCGTTTAAGCTGCAAAAACTTGTTGAAGTTGGAGTTTCGATTTTATTTGTCTTGGAATTTTTTTGTAATAAAATTGCAAAACTACAATGAGTAGGACAGTTGGTTCATTGTGAACAGTATGTGTACTTGCATTGAAGGGAATTTAGAGTAGATCAGAAACAATTGAAATTACAAGGAAGATGACAAAACTCAAGGGACCGGATTAAAGACTGCAGCCTCTTCATATCAGTCTCAAGTATACTTTATAGGGAGAAGTTTAATATGAATGGAAAAGGAGGAAGAAGGTGAACAATAAAAAATTTAGGGGAAAGTTGTTTTGCAGCATTTATTGCAGCTATTTTTTACTTTTCCAGAGTGTGTAGCTAGAAAGTGCTACACTGCACTGTTTAGTCTGGAAAACATGTGTCACTCATGGCAGAAAAACAACAGCAAGGTCATAAATACTGTATAATAAAAAGACAAGCCCTGTTATCTGTGTTTCTTGCTACTAAAGCTTAGCCTCAGTTCACTTGCTTGTGTGTTTTATTGGATGCAAGGTCAGGTTAATGAGAAGTGATTCATCTGACAAGCACAGTCTGAAAGAGGGATAATGAGCTCAGCTGGATGCCACTATGTGGCATTGGTTAGGTTTACTTTTAGCACAGGAATTTCATATGGACATTCATTGGTGAATTTCCCTCCTCCTGCAGAAAATGAGACTACAGTTTCTGCCCTTGTCACTAATTCCAGCATGCAGTGGACAGATGAATGCAGCACTATTCTTGCCCCGAAGGAAGTCTGGCTTAATTGCTTCAATTTGTTTAAACCCACAACCTTTCAGTGTGGGTGTGGACAAAAGTATACATTCATACTGGAAGTGGCATTTGTAATGCAATTAGATCCCACTTTTTTCCACTTAATTATCCAAAATTTCAGTAAATAACCCCCAGCCTTGTATAAACAGCGGAGAGAAAAATTGTAATGCAGAAATGACACATGCTGCATGATGGGCACCTGTAGTTACTGTTTTGGAAAATTTGTCTGTTAAGCAGGAAGCCCATCATACTATTTTGAGAAATTGCATTGCTCAGCCGTTTGACTATATTTTTTGTTTTGGAGGGATGCTTAAGTCGAGCATTAGCTAATGTGAAAAAGGCACTCTTTTTTCACAAAGGCATCCTTAGAAAATTGCGCACGGAAAGGACAGTCACTCATTATGAGGTTTGTTTACCGGTGTTCCTAAATAGTATTTTATTCTGCAAGAAAGGAGGTAGAGACACAGTGAGTTTGTTTGTCAGACCTGCTGTAAGAGATGTTTGTTGTCACCTCACCCCTCCCCCATCAAACTATATATGAAAAAAAAAAACTAAAATAACTTTCAGATGTGGCCAGTGCCCATCCTGAGCTTGTTAATCAAAATGAGAAGACTAGTAAAATGTTTTGCATATATATTAATATAACACTAATACAAAACTAAATTTGCATTTTTTTATAAAGTCAGTTTCTCTTTGCTGGTACTGTACATTGCCTGCCACTGAATTTCACCCGTGGAAAAATAAATTAGAATTCGGAAATGAAGTTGCTCATCTGTGAGGTGATATTTCTCACGTTTGCTGGTGTGGTTTTCTTGTTTCACCCACAGGCTTTGAACAGGGGCATAGCAGCAGTCAAAGATGATGCAGTGGAGATGCTGGCCAGCTATGGCCTGGCCTACTCGCTGATGAAGTTCTTCACGGGGCCGATGAGTGACTTCAAGAACGTGGGCCTGGTGTTTGTGAACAGCAAGCGGGACCGCACCAAGGCTGTGCTGTGCATGGTTGCGGCTGGCACTGTGGCTGTGATCTTCCACACGCTCATAGGTACAGTACGTACTGCAGGGTCCCCACGGTCATGGAAATCCTGGAATAGTGAGATTTCATTTTCCAGACCTGGAAAAGTTTTGAAAAATGATAAAATATCCATTAAGTTTTGGAAAAGTCATGGGTATTTGTTTTTTAATTGACCCAATATTATCATGACTGTATCATGTAATTTTGTTCAGAAGTTAGCAAACCTTTAAAAAAGAGGCTGTGGCATTAAAGTGTCGCGTCGGACCCTCTCGTTTTAGAGTGAGCCGTAAGCTAGCCCAGTGCCCATTTCAAAATGCCGGGTAAATGTGTTTTCAGTGACTTCTGGTTAGCAGATGAAAAAGACAAGCTATGGCTCCAAAAAGATGAAGACCCAGGACGTGCGAAATGTAAATTATGCAGGAAAAGAACTTATGGAAAAGTTTTGGAATTTTGTTGGTTAAAATGAGTGGGAACCCTGGTACTGGCAGAGGGGGCACATGTTGAGGAGGGCACAGCATGGGTCAGCGATTTAAAAAAGGAAAGTGACTTAAGTCAGAAAAAAAACAAACACCTTCTAGAAGTTGGAGGGCTTGAGAAACAGTGATGTGACTGGGCTCGAGTTGCAGACACTGGAAGATGTCTTAATCCATCTGGAATGGAATTTTACATGATTCCACCTTCATCTTTATTTTTTTCCAGTCTCCGGAGCTAACAAATACATGAAGTTATTTTGTTTGCTGGAAATGACTGTCGTACCTTAGCTACCTACTCTACTGTTCATGTTCTGGCAAAATCCACATTGCTACCAATTTTCCCAACATGCGTTTGAAATGTGCAATGCTCAGAGTAGATGTCATAAAATGTCAAAGAACAAACCACTGCAATAAAGTTAAGGGAGAAAGGACTCCTTGTTTTTTGCAGCTGGGTTTATTAGTCTATTTTAATACACTGTGATTTCTACACTACATTTTTAAGGCCACATATTAAAAAAAAGTTTTCAAACTATTTAAAGGGACTCTTATCCATTGTCCATGTTGACAAGGACAACAGGATCAAACAATATTAAGTTTACAAAACTGTTTAATAGTCAGTGAATGCATATATGCAAGGGCAGCATTTACCTTAATCCCAGAGAAAAAAGTAAATAAAAATGCTAAAACCCCCTTTCCTCAAATAGACTCTTAATAAACAGCTACATGAACTGACAAAATCAATGCCTAGTACAATGACCAGAGGGCTCGCTCAATATGACTGCCCTAAAGTTCCCAGTCTCTTCAACTGGTGATGTCATTTCTTTCTTCTCTGCCTGGTCTGCTGGGTATTGAGAATACTACTGCATGGTGCTACAGTATCTGTGTATCACTGAGGTTGGTACTGCACTTCACTGGTGGATGAAGTGGGTCCCCTCCTATATGTTAACTGGTTTGGGATGAAAATTACAAGAAATTATCATCTTTCTTCTGGTTTACTTACCTGACTACTTCAAGACTGCTCCAGGTAGATTTAAACTTAAGTGGGAGATCATTTTCAATGGATAGTGGGGGCCTTATACGTCTGAGGGAGAAGTATATCAGAAGGCAGTTCTGTTCCAGTAGACACCTTTGCAGAATTATCCATTTACATTTCTATTGGTTCCATTAATGTTGCCTGTTTTTTGGTGAAGTAATATAAGGTACAACATTGTTTCTCTGCAGTAGTTTTGCTACTGGAAAAGCAAAAATACTTACTGCACTGAAAATATGTGGTTTCAGTGCTGCATGTAGACATTACACACAACTGAAATGTTCACTGCATTGCTTTCCTTTGCCAACAGCTTTAATTTTTTTTCTTTCATGTTAAAACATATTATATAAAACATTAAGAAAATGACACATCCTTCCTTATTTCTGTTGTGTGACATAATTTAAGTCTGTATACTGATTCAGGGAGAAATGTATTTGTAACTTTGTAGTGGCTGGTCTTTTACTTCTCAGGTACCCTTGATGTGGACGTGACTCCCATATTATGTCGGGGAGTCAGCACCCATATCTGTTTTCTAAGGCCCATCTCAAGAGTGTAAACTGTCATCTTTGTGCCTACTGGCAGAGCTGCCTAGCGGGTTATTCCTGTCTAAAGGGCAGTGCCTTGAAAAAGTATTCAGACCATTGTGAAGTTCTGCAAACCCATTTTCTGAAATTACAAAATCCTGCATACATGTTCTTTTAAACATAACATTTGATTAGAACGTGAATACTCAAACTGAATATTTAGAAGGGTAAGGTAAGTTACAGTAAATATCAGTACAAACTAAAGGGAGAACTGAAATATGTTGATTGCATGAATATTCACTCCTAAGCTCAATTGTAGGTGGTAGTACATTTGGGAAAATGAAAATGTTAGATACAAGTCTCACAGAAGCTTGGTGCAATGTTTTTTTGACAGATTTGTTTAAGCTCTTTCATAATGCTTTGGGATCACTTATTGACAACAATCTCGGGTTTTTCCACAGATTCTCAATAGGGTTTAAGGCAGGATTTTAACTGGCCCACTCAAGGACATTCACATTCTTTTACAGTACTTGCGTCACTCCAGGTTAACTTTGGCCTTGTGCTGTGGAACATTGTACAGTCAAACATGACTTTTTCCCCAGTTTTATGTCTTTAGAAGACTGAAACGTGTTTTCCTCTGCTACTAGCCTGTACTTTGCTTCATCCATTTTTCCTTAAATCTTTCCAGAACCTGCTTAAAAGAAACATCCCCCTAACACATCATCACACTTGACATTTTTCCCAATGTCAGTTAAGTGCTTTGTTGCAAACTCCTTGCAGGATATAAGCTGGGTTTTTCACACCACCATATAGGCTAGCTTTGTGGAGTGACCAGAATATTGTTGACTGATACATATTTGCTCCTGTTTCCGCCATTGAACACAATAGCTCTTTCAAAGTAGGCGTTGGCCTCGCAGTAGAATCCCTCAAGAGTTTCCTCCTTTCCCCTGAATCAATGAATTAATCCTAAATTAATTTCGGATTGCCACAATGAAGGGTTTGAATCCATGAAAACAAATTGAAAAGTCACGATTGTATATTGTATATCTGTTTAATTTTTGCTTTGAATTTCTGGAGCGTCAAAATGTCATGACTGCAAGCTTTGAGGCAACAAAATGCGAAAACTATGAAAGACTCTGAATGCTTTTGCAAGGCACTGTGTGGTGTTCATTGTACTGCATTGTAAGATTACAAATGACAACTTCTGGTGAATCCTAGGGTGCTTTTAAAGTTGGCTTGCCTATTCAAATAACTCTGTTGGGGAAAACTGCTATGGAAGAGTGACATTTGGTGCACAGACAAATGGGCCCAAGAGAAACACATTTCAGTGGACAGCAACAATACTCAATAGAAAGTATTTACAAAGCTGGTATCAATGAGCGGATGCAAGTCTGCAAGCCATCTTGGACACAAATAATAATCATAAGAACATATGAACAGTTAGGAGTAAAAGATGGTGATTTGACCCCTATAGCTCATTCTGTTTTCAGTGGTTAATTGATCCAAGGATCAGCTTCAGTGAGTTGGCAGGGCAACTTGTCCCACAAGACAAAACTTAGTCACGTTGAACTATATCACGCCTACTGGTATGTAATATCTTTTTATTCTTAAAAAGTGGTTGCCATGTGGCCATTTTCAGGTGCCGTTGTAACCACGGTGCACAAAGTTCAAAGTATAGTTACAGTATTTGAATAGACCAGCTAACTCTATAAGCACCTATGCAAATTATATTTTTGAACAGAAAACATATAGTCTGCTAAAGGTTTATAGAAGAAAGTATTTTGTTACAACTTTAACCTTACATGACTCCTGGGCTCTGTGCTCTCAAGGCAGTATTTTGTTTTAGGTGGTCACTAGTTTTCCCCATCTTGAAATAGCTGCAAATTGAAACATTGAATCTCAAGTAATTGGGAAAAACCACTGTGTATGCCTCTGTTTGTTTTTTCAGCTTTTCATTGTTTAGGAAAGTGCCCTTTCAAATAAACCTCTTCCTTCTTGTTTATGTGATGTGAGTGCATCTCTCCTGTGTGTTATTGCAGCCTACACAGACCTGGGGTACTACATCATCAACAAGCTTCATCATGTGGATGATTCTGTGGGTAGTAAGACCAGAAAAGCTTTTCTTTACCTGGCTGCCTTCCCATTACTGGATGCAATGGTGAGCATTTTTATTTCCTTTTTCGAGAGCAAATGAATGTGGGTTAAACCTGTATGTGCATATTCCAAGTAATTGTAACACTTTTAATCTTTTAGCATTCCGAACCCCAGGTTGACTTAATATTCCTGGTGTTCCCGTGTGATTCAGTGTTTGGATATTATTCTAATAAGCACGTTCAAGACATTGTCTGATCTAATGCAAACCTTAAAGTTGTGCCAAGCTGTAAATAAGTTATGCATGTGGTTCTTCATACATGTATATTCATATTAGCAAAAATACCATAAAACACCTTTTTAAATCCTTTTATTCCAAAAAACCTGTGTTTAGTCTTCACAACAACAGATAAGATACTTCTTTGTTGTTTTTTTATTTTATATAAATGAAAGATAAAGTGCACTAGGCTGTCAAAACATGGTGTAAGATATCTCACTGAATATTCACATTTTGTTTCCAAGTAACCTATTTGGCAGTGTCATTTTAAAGTGACAGGTATTCCTACGGTTCTTAAGTAGGTTTTAGCCTCATACTGACAGGCAAAAAATGACAAGAATTTATAGATAAAGTAATGTCACACCACAAATGTCAACTTTCTCTGAATTAATTCCTGATACTGTTTGCTGCAGAGCTAAACTTTGTCTACTGTATATACAGTACTACAGTATATGGTCGTTTTTGTCTGTCTTGTATTATGGATTTTATTTGTAAATTATGAAAAAAGAATTGTTTTCTGTGTTACCTTAAGTGTTGTGTGGGTCATCTGTTTTGGGATTCAACACCTTGAGCGGTTTATGATGGTCTGTAGGCCCTTCAGTAATGTTTAATCTGTGTTGTTGCAGGCCTGGACCCATGCTGGCATCCTTCTGAAACACAAATACAGCTTGCTAGTGGGTTGTGCATCCATATCTGATGTCGTAGCTCAGGTATAGCTAAAACTATATACTATGTTATACTAATTGTTCCAGTTCCTCAGTGATATTACCTTCTGCTCAGAGCTATATTAAATTTTGGAGCTAAGTTTTAAATCTGGAAGTAGGAAAGGTTAATTCTACATTGAAAAACACAACGTTTTGGCTGTCTTCAGGCATTTTGAGGGAAATGAGAAAGATCAGAGAATATGTGGGAAAGGGAATTTTAAGGATGCTGTACATCACATTTTCTGTTCAATTAGTTAACTGGATTTTAAGACAAGCCTAAAGAATATTACATGATAGCACATACATTTAACCCCAATCTCTCTTATACTGTATATACAGTAGTACTATGATACAAAAGTATGTATCTACTAGGTTCACATAATAATATATTCTAAGTAAAAAATAGTTGAAAAAAGGAAAATCATGTATTAGATTCAGTATGTCACATGAAAGAGGCTCCACTGATGAAATATTTGTTTGTTTTTTTTCGTGCTGTACAGGGCAGAACCTCTTCTTGTGTCCCGTTGCCGTTCTCAAGCTCATATGCATCCCCTTTCTAACCTTTTGATACATAATTACAGTATATTTCTGATTCCTCCACTGTACAGAATGAAAGAAACAAAGATGTTGCTGTGTCTGCGAGGGAAGTGTGTTTCTGTGAAGTCTTTGCACTGATTTAGAGAGCGACCTAAATTGGAAAAACAAGTCAACGCTACTCTGAAATATGCATAGGGTCTCCGTTGGGACGTTTATGTACTTGTGAGCTCAAACAATGCCACGTGTGATACTAATGTTAATAAAAAAACCTTCTCAGAAGAAGTCTTTCAGAGAGCAGGTCACAGATGCTGTATGCTGTGATAATCTGTCATCAATGTTAATTGTTACACGGACTTGAGGGAAGCAGATGCCTATGATGTAGAAATGGGTATGGTTTCCATTGGCTCAGCTTTGTTTAGCTCTGTTTCTGCTGTTCCAGATCGTGTTCGTTGCCATCCTGCTTCACAGTCACCTGGAGTGCATAGAGCCGTTACTCATCCCTATCCTGTCTCTGTACATGGGAGCACTGGTGCGTTTCACCATCGTGGGCCTGGGATACTACAGGAACATTCACGATATCATCCCTGACTCCAGTGGACCCGAAGTGGGGGTAGGTCCTCTAAAATCACTGGACTCTCCTTCAGTGGTCTGACTGGAAAGTTCTTCTGACTTTCAGTGAGACATTAGACTTATTATTTTTTTGCAGACAAGTTCTATAAATCAGAGCATCTTAAGCAGCTGAATAGTAATCATAGTAATCTCCTATTCGTACTAAGTTATGTATAAGTTACACAGCTTTGTGCTGGCATAAAGTTTGTGAAACCTCTTTATATGTGAAATGAAATTATTGCAAGGGCAGGGATTTCTAGGATGGATTGATGGGGGGTTTCTTTCACTGCTGTAGCTGAATGCGGGACTGCAGGGGTGTGTGGTGGTGGCTGCCTCACAGCTCTTGGGTGCAGAATGTGTTTCTGACCTGGGCACTTTCTGTGTGGAGTTTGCATATTCTCACCAGATTAGATTTCCTCCCACCTTCCAAAGACATGTTCTTAATTGGAGAATTGGTTACCTGGAGTCTCTAAATTGCCACCGTGTGTTTGTGTATCCTGAGAAGTATCCTGTGTATCCCTGTGTCTTCAGGATAGGCTCTACCAGGAACAGATTGCTGATGGATGAATTGATGGTTTCCTATATCCCCCCAGTATCCATCTGTATGCTGATAATGTTTTTATTCTTATTGTTATTTCACACTTTCCTGGAATGTCATTATGCTTAAAATACAATAATAATATTCCAGTACTGTATTACTGTCCCAGTTAAGAAGTTTTGGGATCACATTTTTGAGTCAATCGACCTGGATTATAGTGAAAGTGTAGTGGATATTGCATATTTCATTGTTTTTCTTTGGTGTTCTGTTGTCTATATAAAACTTACCACTAACATTTGACTATAATCAACGCCTAGAAATGTCTCATGCCTTACTTGTAGGAATTGTGATGGGAGAAGCAATTTGGAATCAAGCCTTAAAGTCATTTGAGGCCTCACAGTTTTAAAGTCTGCTGGCTTTTGTATCCTTCCCTCTGTCACTCTCAGTTAGCTTCTCAAATTATCCCAGTTTTGTACTGAATCAGAAGAGTTGGTGTGGAAAATTACTGTGGAATGATAAGTCTCATATAATTTTAGGATTTTCAAAAAAACAGAAATCTAATAACATGAAAAATGGATGATTATAACCACTTGTTTACCATTTTCTGAAATTTATAGCCGTTGCATAAAGCCTTGAGTGTTTATTTCTGCTTGGTCTACCTCCCATTCTTATAAAGCAAAACACCACTAATGAGGAAACAGTCTGGTGTGGCTTTAATTATTGCTCTACAGGATGGGAAGCATTGTGGCCTAACCCACCACAGTGAAAACAAGGCAAGTTTCTTTATTTTAGTGCCTCTGTTTGCTTTTTCATTAAGCTTCATATACTTCTGGACAAACTTGTCCTTGAAAGCCTCTTAACCTGGAACTTATTTCTTATTCATGTCACGGATGTCGCGAACCAGCTATCCAGCCATGTTGTTGAAGCCAGTACCCTGGAAGGAGCTGGAGGAAACTCTTAGATCAATTGGCTACTAAAAACCAACTGGACTAAATGAGCCGGGTTGCCAGTTTGTGTGTGCCAGTGTTCTTAGGTTCTTTATGTTTCCCGTTGGTGTTATAGTCTCCATGGTTACTGAGTTAACTTGAGTAATGCTGTCTGTAATTGAGAAATACATGGCAAATTGATCTTGCAAACAAAACAGTAAGTGAATGTAATATTCAGTGTCTTGAATTGAACAACCTTAGCATTAATATGATTCCTAAATCATGCATGTCAATGAATAGTTACTAGGACAGAATGCTTAATGGAAAATTGGCTTTGTTTAATGAAATGTGTACCATTTTTACAGAAAAGAAAATTAAGCATCAGTCAGTAGAGGATGAGTATACCTGTAAATCTTTTTGCAGCTGCTTTTTAAGTGAATGTGAGCTTTCTTTTGTGAAAACATGGTGTGCTAGTCATGTCACGCAAAGCACTGAGCCAGTGAGTAGCTGGCTGATGCAATTGTTCTCCCCCATTACACTCTTTTTTTTTTTCTTTTCATCCTACACCAACAGAAATCACTGACGCCGACACTTCTGTGTTTTAGGGAGACGCCACGATCAAAAAAATGTTGAGCTTCTGGTGGCCCCTGGCCCTGATTCTTGCCACCCAGCGTATAAGTCGGCCGATTGTCAATCTGTTTGTCTCCCGAGATCTCAAAGGTAGCTCAGCAGCCACTGAGGTGAGTGTCTCATACCACACCCAGGTATGCATTGCCCTTTTCTTTTCAATGAGCTCCCAAGGGCTCATTGGAGCAATTTTCTTGGGACACTCTACAAGGTATGGTGATGATTTTGTTGCAGTTTATTTTTGTGCTGGAAAGGCTTAGTTAGGACACTGGAAACATACTTTTGTTAATAATAATAATGATTGCTTACACTTGTATAACATGAAGAATGGCCTAACATATAGCTGAAGAACCAGAAAATAATTATAATAATGATAATTGCTTACACTTATATAGCACTTTTATGGACACTCCACTCAAAGCACTTTACAGGTAATGGGGACTCCCCTCCACCACCACCAGTGTGCAGCCCTACCTGGATGATGTGACAGCAGCCATAGCGCGCCAGAAAGCCCACCTCACACCTCGCAAAGCTATCAGTGGGGAGGAGTTCTTGAGTTCATTTTTCAAGATAAGATTAAGCGCCATCATTCAGACATAGTTTTGTATTTTATTTTTCCTTACAGAGTCTGTGGAAGGCAGATATTAGTGTGAAGATAAATGTTGCTCCATAGTATAACCTGCAGAATAAAATATAAATATCCAGTACCAGAGTGCTCTCTTCTGTTTTAGGTTTTGAGAATTTGCTCATTTACTGTAGAACAGTCTAGTTTTGACCTGCCAAAACAGGACCATTTATCTGATATGAATCAGCTGGTCAGGCTACTTTATATTCACGCAGCGTATCGTCTGCAGTCTGAATTCCCCCCATGACGGTACCACCTGCTTCAAAGAAGTATTTTGCCTGTAAACAAGTGCTAACCTCTATAAAAAAACATGTTTTAACTATAGTGTTGCCCTTTGCTTGGATACTTTTCAGCATTTTGTTTGCCACTTTGTTTAATGTGATGTCTTTAAGGAAGATTATTAAGCTCTTTATGATTGAAGAAATGTTTCAAATCTTGCTATCTTTTGTCAAAGCTCTTTTCCTTGTTATAATTTAATGATAATCATATTGCACATAATTAGATGGTTTAAAGAAAATGAATGTCACAACAAGAAGGAAATTGAACAATTAACAATACATTGTGGCTCAGTAAGCCATTATATGTGCATTGATGACTGACTGCTTCCTTTATTAGATAAGAAAGACACTTTTATAGCTCCTAATATGTATGATCTTTAATGCTATTGTACCTAAAGGTATTAACATGGATAGACAAATCTGTACATTGTGTCCTCGGAGCTATAAAATAATTGGTAATTTTTATACAGCCCTGCTTTAACAGCATGTAGGTGAAATGCAGGTGAAACATGTGGACATTGAACTTCAGTTGCATTATATTTCTTGTCTACAAAAATGCTGATTGAAGCAATTGCTTTTTTGTAACATTGACGCCAAGTTAAGCGTGGTGCTGCATATATATCAAAGGTCTGAGGCTGAAATTGTCACTCTTAACAGATGTTTTTGCTGCTTATTGAATTGCAGCAGTTTCACATTCTTATGACCTGATCTCCCTTGTTTCTTCATGTCATGGATTTCTGTCCATTGCCTTACCTTAGCGGCAACAAAAGCAACCTTGATTTTGTTTATCTTCTACACCACCTCCATCCTACAGTGTGATGGAGGTGAGTGCAGGCCACCACGTCTCCTGTGGCCACAGCGCTGTATAATACACATGGTTAATGTTAAGTTCCATTATTTGCAATACTGTCATGGACCAAATGAAAAACTTAGATGTTTTGACTAAGCAGAAAATTCACTCAAAAAAAGCTGTAAAACAGCCAAAACTGTTTTCCTGACCTCTCTTTGTGTGTTTTATGAATGTGTAGGCAGTTGCGGTTCTGACTGCAACATACCCTGTGGGTCACATGCCTTATGGCTGGCTGACTGAACTGAGAGCAGTCTATCCTGCGTTTGACAAGGTAAGGAACATGGTCATTTTCCACAAGGTTGGGTTCATTTTGGTAGATTTATTATTGTTCTATTTTATACCCAAAATGGCTGAAACCTTTAACCTCTATTTGTACATTGAAAAAAATATCTTTTAATAGTAGATTCTGTCTGTCTTTTAATCGATTTTGGAACCTTATCGGATATGATGAAGCTTTCTGGTTACCACAACAAAAGAACCTCAACAAAAGCAGCTTAGAAAGATGCAAACAGGGTTTTGAACGTGTTTTGACAAGTAAAAGAAAAACGTTTGTGTGCTTGTCTTATGGTGAATGTGCACCTTTTACAGGTTTTAGATGAGAATGATTAAGAAACATCTTGGGACTCAAATAGATTTACACCTGCTCTTGTACAAAAGCACAAATACATCCTTTGCGTTTACTTGAGGAAAGCTGGAAAGACATTTATTTCTTGAAATAAATAAGATGTAATGAAACTTTAATCTTAAAGTGAAAAAAACTTCATCTGCAAAGTCAGCTTCTTTCAGTTTTTATTTTAAAAAATATAGAGCATATTGAAACTGTGAATGCTGTTTCTCTATTTTGTTACAAAGGCCAGTACTTTCTAATTCTCTAAGGATGGGGAACTGCCTGCTACAGACTGCAGCTGTGCTCTGTTTGACAAGCACATTTTTACCTCCCTGCAACAAATGCAGTTGGGAGCATTTCAGTTATTTTATTAGGTTTGTGTTTGTGTGACAGAATACGCTCTCCAGAAGAGACCTAGCTGAGTCTGAAGAGATCGCAATAAAATGCAAATTAAAACGTTCTTTAAATATTTGAAGAGTTGCTAGAACACCACTTCTCAATGTCTGCATGCAACTCTTTATAAGTGTTATTGCAAAAATAAAGAACGGGAAACAAAGCTGAGGCTGCCTGTTCGCTTAATTTGTGCCTACATTTAAGGTATGATGCACCTTTGCTGCAAAGGTTTTGTTTTCTGTGGCTTTCAGAAGTATGGAAGAGCCCTTCCAGGTTTTCTTGAAAACAAACGTTTATAGGTGTCTCCGAGGTACAGTAAATCATGGGTCTGGTAATAACAGCCTTTGAGGTGGCTGTTACAGCAAATGTTTGTTTCTAGTTCAGCAGGAGCTGTATTTAGCTGTAAATATTATGAAATGTTCACAGCAGCAAAATAGAGGCTGCAAACAATTAGTAGCTCTGATGATTAAAAACATAAAAAAACATACAAAACTGTAAAAACAGCAAGATCTAGACCTGGGAGTGAGGGGTTTCAAACATTCATTATTTGTGGATATAAGCTATTAGTGGTTCATTGTTTGATATGGCAATCATATTGCAATAAAATAATTGCAATAAATATATGCAGAAGTATATTTAATTAGTAGTATTTTTAATTATAGTGACACTTTAATAATGTTTAAGTTGCACTAGAAATTCCAAGCCGTATTTTATATATACACTGAGAGGCTTTAAAAACCTAACAAATGATTATCTTAATCGATGTTTGTTGCATGTACCGTATGGGATTTTATATGTACACAATTTATAGGTGTACCCCAAGCATTTTACATGGTGGAAATGAAAATAAAATAAATGTTTTTGGAGATATTTTAATTACAGATGTGTAAAGCATGTCAAGATTACCGGTTAATCAAAATCTACTCCTACGGGTCTTGATGGTACATGTATAATGTCTGCAACCTGCTGGTGTTGATTCCTGTGTTTCCAAGTCCTGTTTTTCACCAATGTACATAATTTTGCTCATTTACAATATTTGGCAAATTGAATAAAAAAAAAAATATTTCCCTATTAAGTCTTTATAATAATGCGAAGAGAAACATTTTTACATTCACAGTAAGAAAAGACTAGTCATCTGAGCATTTTGAAATGGAGAAACAGGAATAGAGTGTAATAAACTATATTAGAATTTAATGTAGCCAAGTGCTGAATAAACCTCTTATTCATTTCTTATTTCCTGCTAATTGTTATTTATTTTTGTAGTAGGTTATTATCTGTAACGCAGTGAAAAAACCTACTTGTTTATCACTGAGAAGGGTCAGGGGTACTCTTCTAATACTAAACAAATATTGTTTGACCTTCCCAAATTACTGTGATCTGAAGGTGTCATTATGTGTGAAATTAAAACACTTTTTCATTCTTTTAACTGGTGTTTTCACCTTATACCAGAAGCTTGGTACAGTATATATGCTAAGGAAGCAATGTAGTCCTTAAAGATGGTGTTTAGCACTTTTGCTCATAATTAAAAGACTGCACATACTTGTCCAATAAATGCTTTAGACGTATCACAGTTTATAAAAAATTGCACGTCAATAATTCATACATTTGGTTGAAGTTTTGTTGTGGTTGAATGATATCCTGATGTGTTGTTGATTTCTTTTCTTTACGTTCCAGCATGGAATGAACCTTTACCTGTTTCCTTGCAGCCTACGCATGCTGATACAGCTCCCTACTCAAACATCTAGATAACTTACTTGCTAGTAGCTAATTGTTTCCCCGTAACAAATTCTTGCTATGTAGTCATTAACAAAGGGTGTGATGTAAGTGTCTTGTGACAATCAAGCTTTTTTCCATACAGTGTGTTCTGCAATGACCTCCATGACTCATTCTCAAAGCATTACTGAACTGTTAATTTTCATTGAACTTCCCTCAGTGCTGCAGCAGTAGTTGCTTTATCACCTTTATTGCCGTAATGCTGCTTTTTGAACCCCCACCTCCAATGTTTATTATAATCTCGAGTTAAAGGACTAGAAAACATGCGTCTTCAACCACAGAGCTGCAAGTTAAAATGATTGAGGGAGGTCACGACCTCACGTGCCTTCAGAGTATGCTGTTCTTAATGTTTTTTTCTAGATGATGCAGTATGTTGCAATTGCTTTTAATAAATAAATCAAAGGGTTTTCTTTGACATACGTCACAGTTATTACTCGGCAGAAAAAGAAAGAATGACTACAGTATAGTTTAAGTAGTGACCTAAAATAACACGGTAGTCTTGTGTAAAGAAACCTGGATACTGTAATAATTGCTGAAAACTACAGGTATAATTTGATGTGAATCACAGGCTGTGTTACACTACATCACTGACACATGATAAATGTAGATAACTTGTCTTACTTTGTGGTTGGAACAAAGGGAGAATGCCTTTCATTGCTGTATGTAATTTCTGGTAAGCTGTACTGTATGTGAAGACTACTGAATGACAAATATCAACAGTAAAAAATAACTGCTATTTGTTCTTCAGAGTAATTAATTATGGGGTCATCATCCCTTTTCATCTGAGCCTTTTGGTCTCTGCACTTTTGTTAAAATGATTTGGGATGAAAGCCAGGCTTTACTTAAATTACCACCCAGAAGGAAGGTGTTTTTTTTTTCCCCCCACTCAAGAGTAATATGATGGTAATGATCTTAATTATTCCCCTTGCCTATGAAATTAGCTAACCATACCAATTGAGAAATCCTAGTCTAAATGACAATTAACAAAATCTCCTCTTTCCCCTAGAATAATCCGAGCAATAAACTGACCAACAGTGGGACAACAGTGACCAAATCACACATCAAAAAGTTCACTTTTGTCTGTCTGGCGCTGTCGGCAACGGTAAGAGAATTTCTCCAATTGTGTATGTTTTTGGTATTTCTCAACATCTATGGGTGATTTATGGATAATACAGTTTAGTGCGGTGGATCTGAACGTGCAATGCTTTGGATAACAGCATCTGCTAAATAAATGAACATTCTTCCTACGGTCGACACAGATCATGTGAAGAGGAAAATTTATTATTTTACTTCAGTTTGGATCCCATCTTCCTCAGCCAATTAGTCAGACAAAAAATGCAGTCTTACGCAGTTTATATTGCAGAAGAAAGCTGTTTTTGTTTGCACCCTTGGCATATCTGTTGGTCAGATGGGAATTTCAAATTTCAGTAGAACAACTGGTTTGGGGCTTCAGCTGATCTCTTTTGACTTCAAATGAAGTGAATTGCATACGGTAAAGGGAGATAGGCCAGGCAATGAGTCATCCATTACTTTTAGACACTTCACTGCTTTGTTAAAGAGGTTCTGGTGACTGTGGATTATAATGGTCCTGTTAATCTATGGCTACAATTTCCAGATCCCCATGATCAGAACAAGCAGGCAGCAGCAGGCCTTTCTTTTGTGTTTAATCTGGTAAACACACTGCTGAAGAACTGTTAATAGATGTTGGCAGGCGACTCTTAATGCCTCCAGTATCCACTCTAATTAACAGCTTACTTGTTGCTTCAGCAATTCAAGGCCATGGAATAGGAAGAGTGTACTGAGACGTTAAGTTGTGAATAGTGCTTATGATTACATTTCCATTGGGATAAAGAGGGTGAAGTTTTTTTTTCTTTAAGGATGACAGACATTAAGATGGTCAGGTGACCTCAGGGCTGAATAGGCTTGAAGTCAGGCAGGATTCCCGAAGCTTGTTGTCCAACATAGACTCTTGTCTGAAAGTCCATACTGTGGAAAGTAATGACCTAAAATAGAACTGTCTCTCTAGTTGTGTATTTTATTTCTGTTGCACTTACTGTATGTTGAATCAGTGAGCCACACAAATTGCAGATGACTGATTTAGAAATTAAAGGCATAAAAAGTCTTTTGGAATCACTAATTGTTGCTTGACATTTCATCTCACAGCAACAGTTCCTGAGTCTGGTAGCCTGCAGGTATCCAGGACATTGCAGGACTGGTTTTCACTGAGAGAGTCCTGGTCCAGTAATTTGCTGGTCTGGACTCAGTCTTGTGATGTCCGGGAGAACTCAACAAGTAGTTCTACTACTGCAGGGGCTCACTCTGAGCCCATCTAAAAGAAGAATTAAAATGATTCCATCTATCTGTTTTCCAACCGCTTTATCCAATACTGGGTCATGGGGGAGCCAGAGCCTATCCCGGCAACTAATGGGCAATAGGCAGGATACACCCTAGACACGACGCCAGTACATCACACAGCACACAGAGACACAGACACGCACACTCTCAGGGCCTGTTTTCCCAGAAGCCAGTTAACTTGCAAGTACTGTATGTCTTTGGACTGAAGGAGGAAACCAGAGGGCCTGGAAGAAACCCACACAAACACAGGGAGAACATGTGAACTCCATACAGATAGCACCCCAGGGATTGAACCCAGGCCCCAGCTGTTTGAGTCAACTGCAGTACCGTGTCACCAGAAACTTTAGGCAGCTCACCCTTAATGCCTGAGACTTACAAATAATTTACTGTTACTTATTACTGTTACTATTATTATTCCTGTGCATCATTTAATTGTTCTTTTAAAATAATGAGATTTTCATTGAGTCCTAGTCAATTTGAGATATGCATACTTGCTGATCCTTCAATTATAAAAATACGGCCTGAGAAGCCTTTCTTGCAACATATATTTTTTTCTTTGTGCACCTCTTTAGTTATTTTGCTTTGTATAGAGTATGAACCATTAACTTCATGAATGTCTATTAAAGACCTTGTGGGACAGGAATGCTGTATCAAAGATAGACAGTAGCATGGAAAGATAAAGTTCAAGGTCAGGTTTGAGCCTCTGTTAAAAGCCAGTGCAGGGAACAGGCTGTAGTCTAACGCCAGAGAAGGTCTGTACATTATGACTGTAGAATAATGTTGATAGAGTTAACGAGCATTATTTACTTTGGATGCACTTGGAATCAGTCTTATGTCGGCTCTTTGAATAAGGTGTTTTTATTTGTCCCTCTTGTGTAACAAGTGAATGTGGGTGTACATTCCTTGGGTTTAAGCTTGTCAAACGTGTTGTGGTACAGTGAAAAAGGCAGAGCTAAGAGAATTAGCTCTTCCTCCCTGGACAGGCTGTTAAACCTCCTGTTTCTGAGACAGTCACTCAAAGCTGTATTAGTGGGAGACTTTGTATCTTCAGACAAAAGCCGTTACTTTTTTCTTTTTTAGTGCTGTTAGAATGGTCACTGTCCTGAGGAGACCTTTTGAATAGTTTAGAGACTTTAGCCATATGGAAACTAATAGCTAAATCCTTCTACTAAGGTATATGGTGAAGACTATATTACATTGCTTTGGAAAAGGACTAATTTGTGAAGTATCATACTGTCCTGTATTAATGAAATAACTTTTTTAGAAAGTATTTTTTGAATAGGAGAATTTGTGTCATTTATAAATATTTACAGGACTGATCGCTATTGAATTAAGGAGGCAGTTTGGAGTATTGTTGAACCATTGCTGTTGTGCCCTCACTCCTATAGGTATGGTACAATTCCCAGCTGGTTAAATGGATACAAACGTAAGTCACCTTGGATAAAAGCAGTAGCCAGATGATTTATTTTAAAGGAGATTGAGTTCATTTTCTGTATGGAAAAAATAATCCTTTATTTAACCAAAAATGTCAGTTAAGATCAAATTCTCATTTACAGTGACAATCTGGCCAAAAGGCTGGACAGCATCATTGCACAGAGCACAAACCAGGGACAGAAAAGAACGATCAATCCAATTTAAGTAACATAACAGGACATGGCATAACAGGTACTTCTCTTCCTTTCAGTGTGGAATTAGCTTGTTCCCCTGTAGTCAACGCACACTGATTGCAGCTCCCTGCTCGAACCACAGCATAACAGGATGTGGCAAAGTTAGTAAGTGCGAGTGTCAGACAGAAAGGATTTAATCACATGGCTGAAAATGCCCTCTGACACTACAGTAGATGGTTTATACTGCAGATTGCTCTAGTCATGGGTAGTGGTAAATTGAAAAGACTTGTTCAAAGGTTCAATCTGATCAAGGAACGACATCTTAGCTGGTAAGATGGTACAGAGAATTTAAGTATAATATGAAAATGTAAAGGTATTACCTCAATTAAAGATCTCAGTGATTCAGCAGTGTGAACCATTAGTCATGTTGCCATATGTAAATGTTAAGCAATACTTTATTTAACCCATGTTTCTGGAAAAGTATACTGTAAGACATCAAGTTCACTAAAACAGCTTTTCAGGCTTTGTCACCTTGGTCAAAGATGGAAAACACATCTGACTTGTACTGTATATACCTATAGAAATGTGTAAAATTAGCTTTATTGCAATAAAGGAAACCATAATACAAGTCTTAGCCTGGAATTAAAAAATAAAAATAAATTAAAAAAAATATGAACTTTGAATTTTGAAAGTTAAAACATTAATCAACCAGCCGCCTTGGTTTTTATAAGCCATAAACTGATCCTGCCTTATTTTTTTGTCAAGTGAAAAAGTTGGTGAGTATTACTAAGGGAGTGAAGCCATTTCATTTTATTGAATATTTTAAATGGAGTTTTATTAGGTTTTATCACTAAATTTTTATTATTGAAACGAAAGTGCTACTGTAATTAGTCATCACTGATGATAAAGTGGGTCCAGCTAAGTATAAGGTAGTATTGTCTGTATAATAGGTGTACAATGTACTGTATGAGGGTGGCAGTAGAGATTGAGAAAAATATACTGTTCGGGAAGGAAACTCCTGAGACTGCATTAATACCTGGAAGAGATGAGAACAATTTTATCAGACTAAACCACCTACTCTATATATTGTAGTATAGGCTATAGGAATTCTGAAACCCTGTGTTAGACTTTTATCAATACCAATACAATGCAACTTTTTCAAAAGAATAATCTACAGTTCAATATCAAAAGCCTTAAACTATAAAGATAGCTGGACAAGTGTAATGAAAACCAGACTGCATATGAAATGAAATATAACTACTGTCTAAAAAGAGCTTACCTGCTTGTGAAGAACTTTTTCACAACCTTAGAAAGGCAAGACAAAATGGATGCAGATCTATATCAGTTAGCATCTCTTTTGTTATTTCCTTTGGAAAGAGACCGAACAAGAGCAGATTTCAAATCTGCTGGGAAGTAAGTTCTTTTTTTTTAAAAAAGAGATTTAATCAGTGGTTCAGTGGAGCATATGTTAAAAATACAGCAAGTTTTATAAAAAAATGTTTCAATAACATTGTAACCAGCAGACTAATTGCTCTTACTTCTGAAAAGCTCAGCTAGTGCTTCCGATTCAGTAATGAACTTTCATTGCAAAATTGAGGGAATTTGGTTGCTTCACTGTGTACATTTATATCTAGTTTGTCTGAATGAAAACTAGCCAGTGGCATTTATGGACACCTTAGTATTTTACCATTTTGCTAAGTTAGACTGTGCTTAATTAAAGTAGACAGCTCGGGGCTAAACCAAGGACAATTTTGTTTTTTAACCCTAAACCTTCTCTTTCAGTCTGCTTCTCTGAAACAATTATCACTACAGTAAGATCCTTACCAAGGATCTTACCAATACTTAGCAGCAAGTTTTTTTCCTTGGTGACTGAGAGTCAAATCTAGTAGTTTCAGTTACAATCAGAAAAGGCTTATTAAATCAAATGAACATTTAACAAAGTAAGTAGGCTTTATTCTTCTTTCTGTTTTTGTGGCTAACCCATTTTTTTCAACTTCCAATTTTTTTGTTCTAATTAAACAACTCCGCAACTACAGCTTTCAAGATCTTTCCTAAAGCTTGTTGAGGTTTGTTTCCATGGAGAGCGCTGCAAAAAACCTTTACACATTTGCAAAGTATTTTATCCACTGGCAAAACACAG